GATATTGATATTTTATAACCGATACCAATTATTTGCATGTTTATGTGCCCGATAACCGATATGCAGAACCGATATTTATTTACTGTTATAAAGTAAATAAATGACTGAGTGAAGTAAATCCATACTTCATACCATCATCTTTAAAAAAGTGTTGAAAATTAGCAGTCTTTCATGTTAAATTTAATCTTCATATTACAACAATAAAAAACATTTTATTTAACGCATCAGCAGCAACACTAATATTAACAATAAGAAAAATACAGGTAGAAGGTCTAATGTTTTCAAATGGAGAAAATAAATAAAGGAAAGGAGTCATATAACTTCAAGCTGTTTAATAGGCTAAAGAGTGAAGAATAATTCACTGGATAATGTTAATTCACTGAATAATATTCTCTGGAATATTGAAATATAACAAACAAAACATCATATTTTATTGTATTTCTCAACTGGCATGTTATATCAGAATTACTAATAATGTTTTTGTCATTCTAGATTATGAAATGCGTGCTGACAAAGTGCTGTTTATGTATGCATTTACACAGAACTATACTCAAACTGTGATCGCTCGCGGAGATAATAAATAATTAATTTCCACAGAGTTGTGTCTATTTAGATGTTATTAGCGAAATAATGGTTATATAGTAAATGTTATTACAATTTAGGGTGTTTTAAACAAGTGAATCTTGTTAAAAGTTACATGTGGTGGCCGTGCTGGAGCATTGAGAAACTCATGGCTGTATTATTTAATTAATGCAAAGTTGCGTCTTAATTGGGAGAAGACTTGACAGATTACCTTAGCCTACGTGACTCCGACTTCATGAGACGATGAGCATATAGACACAAGAGAGCGAATTATATTCAGCACTTTTATTTCCAACATGCGCCCATGCATGGCTGAATATTATTTAATTCACGCAAATATACGTCTTTATTGGGACAGGACTTGACCGTGAGTTCGTCTCTATTTCTAAGAGCCAAGCTGCATAAACTGCATATCAGGCATTTATGTAATACATCTAATTTGTAATAATGGCTGTTATGTTAAATAAAGTTTACTAACTACAGCAAATCATGTACCTGCGCACGCTGTTGTTGTTGTCTTGTTTCCCCTCAGATGCTCTGCAATGGTGATCCTGCGCAAAATTCTCAAAACATCCACAAGATGGCGGCTTTTATCGGTGAATCTGATATTACAAAACTGATATCCGATTATTGTAAAATGCTTAAATATCGGGTAAAATATCGGTAAATCGATATATCGGTCGATCTCTACTCTTAAGCAGCAAATTAGGAGTTTATTGAGGGAAAACTTGTAGTTAATAATGAATAGGTGTTCCCTAATCTCAAGTGTTACCTGCATTTATTATTCCCTCATTTCATTTAAGTATGACTGTATCTGCAAAACCTTTTGTTCTAAATGGAATACTAGAATACTTCTTAATGCATACACAGTATACTGCCTAGTATTTGTTTTTAAATAGGATGCTAAATAGGATGAAAAATATGCTAAATATTTCAATAAATAGTATAGTCACATGACCACTACATACACTACCATCCAAAAAGGGTCAGTAATAATTTTTTAAAGAAATTAATACTGTCATACATACAGTGCCTATTAAATTCAAAAGTGACAGTAATGACTTTTACATTGCTATAGAAAAAAAATATTTTAAACAGATCTTTCTATTCACAAAAATAATTCCACAAAAATAAGGAGCACAATAATTTTTAATACTGATAATAATAATAAGAAATGTTTCATGAGCACCAAATCAGCACTGTAGAATGATTTATAAAGTGTAATGTGATACTACAGTAATGACAGCTGAAAATTCAGCTTTGCCGTCACAGTAATAAATTATATTTCAAATCATATTAAAATATATAAAAAAAACGTTTTTACATTTTAATGATATTTCACAATATAACTGTTTTTAATGTATTTTTTCTCAATTAAATGTAGCCTTGGTGAGCATAAAAGACTTCAAAAACATAGAAAAGCGAGATAATTTTGTGTAAAAATGGCTTAACTTAAAATGAAAAGACACAGTTAATATTCCTTCCCATTCACAAGTCACACTGGAAATAGAAGGTCAAGTTGCATTGCATTGCGAGTGAGAGTGTCCACTGGTTTTGTGTTGCACATTTTAGAAATGTAGTAGGTCATTCGGGCGTTCTATTCATTTGCTAGATGCTGCTTTAAAGTGGTATGCTAGAGAAAAAAGTATGGTAGTTTGCTATTCTGAACATAGCCATAGACATTATTATAGTGCAGAGTGAATGCAGTGCACACAAGATCTATTATTCAGAGTGGCAGATATTTGGCAAGCACTTCTCTTTGTGTTTGCTGTTGACCCTTGTCTAACAGTCGCTGTATGTTCTATATCTGTCCTCAGGTCAGGTGGGATTGGTTGTTGGGCTGTTCTTTGCTTTTCTAGTGCTTCTCCCTGCTGTACTTATTGCCTTCTACTGCATCAAGATAAAAAGCTCCTACTGCCACAAGTGGAGAACACAGAGAGAGAAGAGCAAAGCCAGCAGGTATTACTGTAGCAACACACACACACGTACGCAGTGCCTTTACAAAGTGTTCAGACCCTTTCACTGTTTTGTTAAAAGATTTATGCATGTCCATTTACAAACAAACCACCACAGTTGCAATGTGAAAATGGGTTCATAAAAGTTTGAATGGATTAATAGCAAGAAACTAAAATATCAGACCCTGTATTGAGCTCAGATGTGTCCTGTGTCTTTTGATCATCTCCAGAATTAATGTTTAGTCCTATTATGCAAATTCATTTGATCGGACGTGATTTTAGAAAGGTACACCAGTATGTATTTGTACATGCTGCAAGGCAGAGCAAAAACCTAAAAAAGGTCTTTGAAGTTATGAAAGAACTTTACTAGTTGTTTGAGATTGTATCCATAAAAATAAAAATAAAAACATGTCTGGTCAGTCAAGGCTTCGGTGTTGTCAGATGGACGACATTTTGAGTCATTCATCTTAAAACTGGCTGTTTAGGTAAATTGGGTATTTGGTTCTAGGAGGGACACATTGAATTCATGCCATGGGTGAGAGAATAACTGAACTGAAGTGAGCAATTTCAAACGCCATTGAGAAGTACCACCTGTGGCATGCTGAGGGGTTCAGCGCAATATTATCTTCTTCATGCAAATTTGTGGTATGACTGATTCCTAGAGTTTTTATTTCTTAGATTTCTAGAAATAAAAGAGACAACAGCTTCCACAAGGATATTTCTCAAGGATAACAAACTGTCTCTGTTGCTGGAGTCCGTGATTTTATAGCTAATATCAACATTTTTGATGGTTTTTAACTCACGTTAGGTGAGGAAGCACACACCTTGGACACATTTAAATTCTGTTTCGCTTTGTTTGAAGCAGGACTTGAATTGCTTTCTTCAGAATGACTATTTATATTATGCCTATAACCAGGGGTGTGAAGTAACGAATTACAAATACTCACGTTACAGTAATTAAGTAGTTTTTATCAGTAATTGTACTTTTTTTGAGTAGTTTAAAAATTGTGTACTTTTACTTTTACTTGAGTACATCTTAAGTGCTGTATCGGTACTTTTACTCCGTTTGTGGTCGTTACATGCTTATTTTAATTTTATTTTTTATCCATCAACGTGATTGGATAGAGAGATAGGTATAGGTCTCGTGACTTTCCTCAAATCAAATTGTGCATAGCACGTTCGGTAAATTCCCGCTCACTTATGAGACGAGCGATCTGCGCTGCCTCGTCTCTCTCTCGCGTAACGTTTTTTTTAATTATTATTATTAAAAAAATCTTTATCCATTTTGTACAATCCGCCTTCATTTAGTAAGTACACTCGCACATAAAAATTTTTCAAGTTCAACACTTTTTGTTCCGTTCAGTTGTGGATGCTGCTGATTCACCGAGACCGCCGCGGCTCAGCAAAGGGACATGCGTGTGTGTGTGTTTTCCTTTGAAAAAGTTTCCCCAGAAATACTTTGCTATTTAATGCAGTTTTCCTTACAAATTGTATTATCATTATCAGCATAACAATTCGAGTAAATGTGTAAAAGGTATGGCATGATGCCGTCCTTCTAGAACAATGTGCATTTATGTTAAAATTGTAACACAAATGATCAAGTTTAGTTATTTTTATTTCTTTATTGCAAAATGCTCAAACTGGCACCGTTTTGGAGAGAAATGGGCTCTCATTTGAACCCATATCATGGTGTGTGATACTGAACTGAGTTTCTAATGGTGTTTGTATTTGCACTGTTCTAAACATTAATATTTTATGTGCAACAACAGCATATGCTGTCTCAGTGGCCTGACACATGATTTTAAATCTATTTTTTAAAACTTGATGATTTAAATGGGGATGATTATACTGAGAAATAACTTTCATCTTTTCTTCAACTGAATACTGTTTCCGTGCTGTTTTGATGTATTTTAAAGAGTTGGCAGTCAAAATTAAAACTGCTGGATGAAAGATACTCTTCATTCTTTATGATAAACAAGATAATGTGAATTACAGAATGTACAACGGTTTTAAAATGTATAAATTGCGGTGTACAGCATTTATTATGAGGGGGTAGAATCCACAGCTCAGTACTCACTAGGGATGTAACGATTCGCTCAACTCACGATTCGATTTGATTCACGATTTTGATTCCACGATTCGATTCGATTCACTTTTTTTTTTTTTACAAAATGAGATTTAAGACAAATTATAAATTAAATGTGTCCTTTTATTATTGCTTGGACAAAATGCTTCACATTTATTTGTGAAATTGAAATATAACACTATAATAAAATACTAATATAGGACTTGCATATTATTGCTCTTTTGTTGGTTTTAATTGCTTCTATTGTCCTCATTTGTAAGTCGCTTTGGATAAAAGTGTCTGCTAAATGACAAAATTTAAATATAATGTAAATGTAAATAACAAAACAAAATTTTAAAACAAGCTCCAAATCAAATAAATAAGTAACACAAATAAAATAAATCTCTTCATATAAACAAACTAAGGCTTTGTCTGTGCTCTTTCCTTTTAAAATTAGAGGCAACCACTGCATTTTAATCATGATCCAAACGAAGATGCTGCATACATGCAACATGAGCAGTTTTTAATCTAAATTAGATTGTATAATTTCAAAATTTGAAGCAAAAAGAGAACGGTTTGACTTCAGTTTTGTGAAACTATACATAAAAAATATTTGCATGAAACAGAAACAGCCGACGAGCTGAATTAGATGCAGATTCACTCTCTGCCAGCAGGTGGCGCTTAAAGCATTTCCTTGGTTTTCGCTGTAAACAAAGCTGCGCTGCACTTATGAACTTTAATATGCATTATACAGAAGCATAAATACCATCTAAACTTTTCTAAAGACAGTAAGTTCCCCTCAGACATCCATTCTTATATACTACCCCTAATCGAATCGCGATTTGTTTAGCATCTCAACCGATTTGAATCGTCACATATTTAAATCGATTTTCAACCGGCTCGCGGTTAATCGTTACATCCCTAGTACTCACTACTCAATACTCATGAGTACTTTTAAATAGGCTACTCTTTTACTCTTACTCAAGTAGTTTTTTGGACAAGTACTTTTACTCTACTCACACTACATTTTTTGGAAGTACTTTTACTTGAGTATATTTTTTCAGTACTCTTTCTACCACTGCCTATAACTTAAAATTGAAAAAAATATATACGTTACTCTACATTGATAAATAAACATCAGCCTTAAATTTGACAGAAATAGACTGTTGATAGAATATTTATATAATAAACACATTGATTTTAACCACAAAAAAAAAAAACGTATCCTTGCTATTGACTTTGGGGTCAGTATAAATGGGCTCTTTCAAGCCAAGGTTGATGAGAAATGGGTTCCGTCCTATCACAACTGGCTGATTTTGTGAATTGTCTTTTTAAGCAATTTAGATGTCATGGCTTTTGTGAGTGGAGTACTTTTATGGAACTGCATTACAAAATTCAGTTGGAAAACCATCCATTCCCGAGGCTTTGCCACTTTTCAGCTGATTAATACCATTATAATAGAAGCCATATTTCTTCAGCAGATATTGGTTTCTCAGATAATGTCTTCATCGTTCCTATATCCAATATCTGAATTCCTCAGCTCAAGGAGCTGCTCATACCACTGACTTGCTAGATTATACATTTTCAAAAAAGTCAATTGGTCAATCCTTCTTTGATCCATAATGCTTTTCTACTTGATTTGAAACCAAGATACCAAATCTACTTTGAAGAGACTTCCTTTCCTTATGTGTTTTGCCATATCACATATTCTTATCCCTTAAAGACAAGAACCCCTTCTGTTCATTTACACAATTATGGATATTATCTGGCCCCTTAGATAGTATTAACTCAGTGACCCCCCGCCCCGCCCCCCGCCCTTATCTATAGCCGAGTTGTTTTTAATTTTCTTTTCAGTTCTTTTTTTTATTATTTCAAACACTATCAGTCAGGTATTTCAGAGACAAATTTTGCTTTGTCAGATAGTTTCAAACAATTGTTTTGTGACCTGCTTTATAAAAGACTTTTATAAGAAATAATAGTAGCTGTTCTACAGAGTGCAAGAGCCCCCTGTCTTTCATCTGAGGCCCTCTAAAAATATGCGATTAGTTCAGCTGTCAGTATCCTTTGAAATCTAATTATGTGATCTCTCTTCACTTTTGCTGAAAACAGCAGCTGCAGTGAGATAACTGAGGTTACTTCACTCTGAATCCTCCCCAGTCATTAAAACATTAAAAGTTAGTCAGATTAGGTACAGTATTATCCTTTCTTCTAGTCAGTGGCAAACCAGGTCGCATTTGGCACAGAGCGATTCGCAGCACGTAGGGTCTCACATTTGAACTCTCTTAGTTCTCACTAAATTAAATGCAACCTAATGTACCACAATTACTGATATACATCTGCTAACAGCAAGGTTTCAACTTATCAACTCTTGCACCCAAAAATGAAGATTCTGTAATAATTTTCTAACTCTTCTGTCACTCCAAACATGCATGCCTTTCTTTATTTCTTCTGTGTAACATAAAAGATGTTTTAAGAAGTGGCTTTGTTTTAGTTTTTTTGTTTATACAATAGAAATCAATATTCACCAAAACCATTTAGTTCCCAACATTCTATAAAATATTGTCTTTTATGTTCCACAGAAGAAAGAAATAAGTCTTACAGGCTTGGAAGGGTGAGGGTGAATAAATTATATAAAAATGTAATTTTACAAATGTAAACAGTCGCTTTAAGGCAATTCATGTAAGACTTTAAATCCCAGAATATCTCCTGCAGCTTCAAATGGACATGCTTAAATCTGTTTAGCATCAGTGTCAGTTAGGAAAAATCTGTGTAGAATAAAAAGCCAAAAAAGTAGAGGTCTACCACTTCCAAACCGAGTAGCGATGATGGCATATGACAGGCACGGTTGCAATTCAGAGTATTTCCCATGTATTTTGGGGCACCTCATATTGGCTAACAACTAAATTCAATTGAGAAAATAATCTTTGTGCACGCTCAATGTTAGACAAAAAAATTTATAAATAAATTCTCTCTTTTTTATTAAAATAGCACCTGATAAAGATCTGCTTGTAATAATTTTATTTGACTACTAAGCACAGCTGCAGTGAAGCGTTATTCTCAGCAACAGGCTTTAGGATTGGCAGGCAAGATGACAGAGGTTGAATAGAGCCAAATATAGAGTGATCCTTGCAGAAAACCTGCACACAACCTCTGTCAAGAGAAAAGATTCTTCATTTAG